CTTTGTAGACTGTTTCCTTTCTTATAGAATGTATTTTTTTTTTGTTTACACTTGTATTTCTACAGTATATCATTTTTGTTTTGTTATCTAGTGAGTAATGTTTTGCTGTTTCATATTTAAGTAAAGAAAAAAAAAAATACAATGTAGGCTTACTTGTCTGTAAATAATTAATTAATGGGAAATAAAATATTATTTCAATTATTATTTCATTTCATTCATTCACTTGGCCCTTAAATTAGGACCTACCTAATTGATTTTTTAAATTCAATTTAGGCTAGTAAATAATATTAAAATGATCAGAATTTCTACCACAACCTTAACCTTTATTGCAATGTGGCAATTAAAAAAAATAATTTTCATTCTGGATTTTGTGACCGTGGGCTTTCAACATACCAAATGAGACATGAAATAGTCAGACCATCTGAGACATGATTAAATGCTAAACTATAAAAAATGGACTATGAATGTGAGATACGGCAGATTGGCAGTAAGTTACTAAACTATTTCACAACTAACACAAACAATACAAAACATTTTACTTACTTACACATGTTGACACATTTAACATTCATACCGACAAAGATTCATACACGGACGAACATTTAAAACATGACCCCTAGCATTGTCTGACCGAGCGGAATTTTCACGACAACGGTTTTTTCACTGTGTAGGACAAATAATTCCTTTTTTTCGAGCTGGTGTTATTGATTCAATTGAAAATACCGTCACGACAATTTATGACTCGATAAGAAATTAACATTTACTACCGTATCGATTATGATGCATGTACGAATTTCCTTACGAACGCAACAATCAATCTGGCAATCTCAACTGTCTCGGTTTAAAACTAGTAAAACACTTCCCCCAATTGCAGTTAGGCGAAATTTAGACAATTGCGATCATTTGATGCATGTACAATTTTCACCCAAACGCGAATTTCCGAGCTACGAATTAGATAAAGATTAAATTGTCCTACACCCGCAACAAGCGACCTTCTTGTTGATGGCGCTGCTACGAGTGACTTGCGCGTGGCACAGTTTCAGTCCTCCCCTCTCATCTCAATCCGCGTTACGTCATGGTTGGACAGACTTGTCCGTTGCCTTGTCTCAGATTTTAAACCTTGGGATTTAAAATCGGCACACTATTTAACATCAAATTAAACAAATAAATATGATACTTGATAGTTTTTTTGACTTAATCTTTTTTTCAATTTACCGTAGGCTGATAGTAAACACAAATGTGTGCGTTGGTAATGTAATAGAATTGTCTATTAAAAAGATAAATTATTCAGGCCTAGGGATGCTGCGATACCACTGTCTTTCCGATATTTGGTATCGTTACTGTCAGTAACTTATAGTATCTATTCGATACCAGTGACATCATATTCTGATTAATAAATAATGGTCTATATAAATAGGCCTACCTTATAGGCCTACTGTCAAAGTGATGCTTTGTAGGATACTGCAGTTTCATTCCCTAAAGGAACTTACATCAGAATCAAAATCACATTAAGTCACATAAATCATGGACGAACACAGAAACTTGTGTTTTTCGGTACTGGAGTTTTTGTAATGTCTATGTGTTATGTTCGTATGTTTGTCCGTGATTTATGTGAATGTGATTTTGATTGATTTTTACCATTACTTCCTCTGGAATGAAATTTGGTTGTCTTTTGAAGCCTAATGAAGTTCCTTTAGGGAATGAAACTGCAGTAGCCTACATGGACTACAAAGGATCACTTTGACAGTATAAGGTATTTAAACCATTATTTATTACTATAGGCCTACCAGTGATCCGGTGGCTAACAACATGAAAATATTCTGATTCACTGGTCTTTAATTAATGTTCACTTGCTCCAGTACAGTACAGCCAATATAGGATTTGAACCGCTAAGAACTACCTAAGTTAATTTTAAATGTAAAAAGTTCATAAAAATTAACCAAACATAGCCAAACTTTGTTTTCAATTTTACCTTCGAGTAAAAGATCAAGTAGGCCTACCTTATTTTCTAGGCCTATATAATTTATCTTTTTAATAGTAAATTTTATTACATTCCCAAAGAATACACACATTTATGTTTACCATCAGCCTAAATTGAAAAAATAGATTTAGTTAAAAAAAAACTGTAGTGGTGTCATCTATATTAGTTTAATTTGATGTAAAATAGTTCATGGTTTAATTTTATTTGCTTAACGTTGCTAACATTGGGTTGTAATAAAAATAACTCTTTGCAACCAAACCGTCAAGTTTGACCATTGACTACATGTTTTACTTTTATATGTTACCTATGTAAAGTTCCATGAATGAATAGTGAATCATAATTTACTCAAACCACATATCAGATAAGCTAGACATAGAAACTAAATATTTGGGTGAAAATATGTTTTTTTTTATCACACTGGTGCTCCAACATTTGAAAACAACCACTCAGAAGGCACGAGCGTTTACCATTTGCCTCAGATATTACCTTCCAATTCTTACGTTACGATACTGGCCTCTTGGTATTGATACCAAGTAAATATCGGAACAACCGATACTGATACGATACCAGCAGCATCTTAATATCTCTATTCAGGTCTAGAACATAAGGTACTTCAATTTTTACTTGAAGATAAAATTTAAAACAGAGGTTGTCTATGTTTGGTTAGTTTTTATAAACTTTTTACATAATTCGGTAGTTAGCAGCTCGAATCCTATATTGGCTGTACTGTACTGGAGTGAGTAAACTTTAATCAAAGATCAGTAAATCAGAATATGATGTCACTGGTATCGAATGGATACCATACTGACGGTATCAATACTTAGTTCCGATACTGAGCCGGTATCGATACTTCTTTTCGATACGGTATCGATACTAAATATCGAAAAGCACTGGTATCGCAACATCCCTAAGTGAAACTGACAATAGATGAGCAATAACTCCCTCTCTTTCTCTTATCGCCCCTCCGACAATATACGTCACAGCAAAACGTCACTACTAAGATAGCGTCATAGCCTGACTGCTCATAACAAGCGTGATAAGTTGTGATCTCTAAATAATCGTTGGCGGGATTTTTTTGCGAAACACTGCCAAATGGCATTTGGTGGTACCTGCGCAGGGTTGAGTATGAAGGTACTGTATAATATGTATGAATAAAACGGTACGCTGAATGAAATTAAACAACTATTGGCATGCATATGTGAACACAGTAAAAGCATTACCTATTGCAGCAGTATACACTTCAAAGACTGGTTTATTGAAAGATATTAGCATCTCACTTCGTTTTTCCCTCTTATTTTTCTTAAACACATGGTTATGAAAAATAAATGACATAGTCATGGTAAGCCCACTCTTTACTAATGTAGCTATTTAGCCTGGAATGGTCCTCATGTGACCTCAGCTGAACGATGACGCTATTACCTACACAAATTAACTAGCGGCCCGGCTAAGTTACCATTTTAGATAGAGAAGAGATAGCAAACTCTGGTTTTCACTATTCTTTAAGTTTTCGTAAACACTTCAAAATGAGGTCTCACTTGAAGGGGGTTTACATTTAAAATTTTTGAGTTGTCCCTAAAATTCCCCCTTTTTGAGGGACACTAAAAAATTTCAAAATCATAAAATGAAACTTCCTGCTAAGATTGTTGGGCCACCAAAAGGATATCTCTATATTTACTTCGAAAATATTAGAGGGGGGGGGGGTTGACTTTTTATTCACTCTGTATATTGGCTACAAGTAATAATGTAATAATAGGGTAATATCTATATAATTAATACGCTACATGAAACTTTGTCGGTTGAACTCCTCCGCCATTTCTTAACCGATTTTATCCATTGACGTCTCATTGGAAAGAGCGTGTCGCGTAGATTTGCAAACTGGCCTTACATTTTTGAAATAGTCCCTTGGGCTCTGCCCCAGTGGCTTTGAAAGTTCCCATGTTATCCTTATGAAGAACATAATTGTTTACATTTTGATCAGCTGTATAATTTAATTGCTGTTATTTACTTTTCAATTCAACGAAACGCATTTGGTACATTTTACTGATTTTGTTGAAATTAAATATTTCCTACTTTAATTTACATTTGTGTTTAAATAACTACTTTACTTCTTTGCAATTGCTCGATTTCGAGCAACATGTACACTAGTAAGTAATATTTAAATACCTGCCTATATCTATTCATAAAAAATAACTTAAGTTTTTTTCATGCTAAAATCATGAAAACTGTTCAGCATCACACCTAACAAGTGTTGGGCTCTGCTTATAAAAATGTCAAACTACAACTGTTATTATTAATTAATTGCACACAAGATTAATTGCTATACCCGTGCTTTGCAACGGGAAGAAAATGTGACCTAGAGAGCTATTCAAGTGGTGCTGATGTGTGTTTTAAAATACAGCAACTCTATGATTTAGTTTGAAAATATAAACTGATTTAAAAGTGTAATCCTACTTTCAAACCCCTACTTTTGATGTTAATAGATCCAAAAGAATATACCTCCATACGGACACATACCTTAGCATCAATTTCTTCATTTTGCTGCTTCATGAATGACATGTTTTACCATAATTCTTCAATTTTAGTCAAGCCTCTTTCCATGTAGCTTACTATATAAATTACAAAATAAAAACTAACCTAAACTTTGAGCAATACTTAAACAAAACTTATACAACCTTTCTTTAAAACCAACCTCCTCAATTCAATCTTCATTTTTCTAGTAAATAAACAAACACCAATTCATTGCACTGACCAGCTGTTTCATGAACTAAATTGAATTATATCATTTGAACTTTGGAAATATGCCAGGGGTAACCCTTTGGAAATTAGCCTGTGGGGCAGAGCCCTTAGGAAATTCGTCCATATTAATACTTTTCGGCAAATCTACACACTCTAAGCTTCATTTTGATGTGCCATATGCCTATATTTTTATTTGGTAAATGACCTTAACCGTTTACATAAAATTTGATTGTATCACTTTAATAATATAATAGATTACTAATGTCAAATTTACCTTTTTAAGGAAAGGATTGGAGCTGTCAAGTTGATGTTGATGGCTCACAGTGAAGTTTTCAGACTAGAATTAGAAGACAGTAAATTGGCTGAGAAGAAAGATGTTCCTATCAAAGACATCCATCCTGAAACCTTCAGGGGAATGTTGAGGTGAGTTGATTGTAAACTACCTAATTATGGAACTTAGCGATTCCATGTCCATCCATCCAATTAATTGTTTTTGGTTGGAAATAATTCATCAAATTTAATTTATATTTAATTACCACACTTAAATTGTCAAATATTTGAAATATTTATTTATCCCCAGTAGTGGGCAATAATAATGTTTGTGACTTCTAAAGGTGTGTAGTAAATGTAGGCCTAAATGGAATAAAATATATATATATTTTTTTAAGTAGAGGTTGGCAGCCTCTTTTAACCTTGCATTTGCCCGTACACATAGACCAACTGCCCGTGTGTGGAACGTATCCAGCAAATCAAGGGGTGAGCCCGTACAGTACAAAGGTGAACTGTATGCCTACTGATGACATGTTTTTGGCAGTGACCAGGATCCGAACCCACGACATCGCAACCTTGGGCCCGAAGTCTGTGACGCTACCGACTGAGCCACCGACTCACCATTCTTTACTAGATAGCGTATTAATATTGTCCTGAAACTTAAAATTTGTATTAGCAATAATTTAAATTGGTTTTAAAATCTTGTTAATTACCTACTGTCATCTAGAAGTTACACAATTTTAACCTGTTTCAGATATGTTTATGGCTATGACACTACTGCTACAATGGAATTTGATGAGGCTGATAATTTACTGTATGTTGCGGAGAAGTATTTGATGAAACCTTTGAAAGACAGCCTGGCTGCTAGACTGATGACTCTTTTGAACACAGACAACATTTGTTCCCTGATGAACAACCCTGCGTGTTACACTCATCTGGAGTTGGACTCGGCCATTACCAAGGTTAGTTTGAGTGTTTTTTGTACATAGACTTTCGGTATGTAGAAATTCAAATCAAATCAAATCAAATATGTCTTTATTCATAATATGTACAATTTATGTACAATGAATGGTGTCAGATCTTATTTCTAAGAAATAAAAATAAGTACATTAAAATTAGCCTATTTACAAGTATAATACAATATACCTAAATCTTACCAACGCCATTTTTGTTATTTAAAAACTCATTAATTGAATAATAAGTGTTCTCAATCATGAATGCCTTTAATTTTTTTTTTAAATTTCTTAATATTAATCTCACTTTTCAAACTCTCTGGCAATCTATTAAAGAATTTGGCGCCCTTATATGTGGTCTTTTTTTTTTTTTAAATTCTAATTTATGTGTTTCTAATTTCAAATTATTTTTGTGCCTAGTGTTGTAAGTATGATTATGGCCAAGAAAACTGGTATTAGTCATGTTTTGTTTCACATACATTACACATTCATATACATATAAATTAAATACTGATAAAATTCCTAGTTCACTAAACCTATCCTTTACATGAGCCTTGTACTTCAAACCTAGCATGATTCTTATACATTTCTTTTGGAGTTTCAATAACTTTTTTAAGTTTTAAAATTAGATGTGTGAAGTAGATATACACCTGAAGCTTCGAGTCTTGGCCACGACAGAGCTTATTGTTAATTTTCAGACTATGACATGATCTCCTAGATATTGAGTCCTTAAAAGTTTCCCACATTAAATTTTTTTTTTAATTTAAATTTTTTTTTAATTTAAATTTTTTTTTTTTATCTTGTCTCGAAAATATCCCGCTAGTATTTCAATCCCGCCCAAAGCTTCGAGATAAAAAAATATTGAAGTTTCGGTTCTTGTCCATCACTAATTGACAGTAAAACAATGTGTAGCCTACATATCCCAGACAATTTTTTAAACCCAAAGCACTTGACTATTTTATAACTTGCAGATGCATGTTCTCTGTGAAATAGAGCTGCTTTTTCCGATGGATGAAAAAATACCATCATCATTATATTGGGAGTAATTGTAACATAGAAGAGGTGGCGGAAGAATATTTATAAACGTAACAAATAAATTAATCAATCACGATGTGACAACTAACTTGGATGCGAAAAAAATTAATACTATTGATTTAGATTTTGTTGCAACTAATGCACTATTTTTTTCTTTAATAGATTTTGAGATTTGAGACGGATCAAGTGTTAGCAAGCCCAGAGTTTTTGTCGATGAATTCTGACGGTTTCCTCAAGATTTTGGAACAGGACGAACTTGTTGTTCCAGAAATAGAATTGTGGAGAGCAGCGATTAAATGGGGCAAACACAGAGGTAAGGATTTAGATCTTAAAGCTTAGTGTTATTTATGCACACCTAAGCCAAATATGAGTGCAAGGTGAGAATGGAGGAAGATGATCCGTGTAGCTTTGTGTAATCAATTCATCAAAAAGTCCATTTATTTTTATATCTTCCAAATCTTACATTGGATTTTACTATTTTGAATTACAGTACATACAGAAAACAATGGTTGAAAAACTTCTGTTTGGTTTGCACTCAGGCCCACTACTACTGTGAATAGTTAAGATAAAATACAATTTTTTTAAATATAAGTTAGGTTGCATGATAACCTATGCCGGTAATAATAATAAAAAAAAGAACATTCTTCCTTCTATTAATGTACAACATAGGAAGGATTTAATTATGAAATAAGTGACTTAAACCACTAGTTAAAACTCTCAAGGTCTTAATAAATTATTGTCTTGAGAAAATTAAATACCTTGTTTAGAATACTAAGTTGTTCAGACTAGCCGTATAAGCATTAAAATTGTATCAGATAATTAGAAACAAATTTACTATTATGACTGTACAGTGATAATATCAATTTCTCTTGTACAAACTCCTGCATCACGGAGGCATCATGATCATATTGCGATGATTATATCGCTTTAGGGTATCGGCGGTTATTCAAAATTTCTGGTTCCAAACGACATTTACCTACAATTTATGGAATTTCTCCCGGTCAACAAAATTCACATACAATTCCCGGTTCTTTTGGTTTCCCGGTAAGCTGGGCATCCTGTTAATATTTTAGAACACGAAGCTACTGTTAACCTTTTCTCCCTAACTGATAGTTCGGCTTTGAGTGTCCTAACGTTCCATCAAGAGTTATCATGCATAATTAAATCATCAAAAACCACTGATATTTAAATCCAAATCTCATAAACATAACAATAACGGAGGGAGTTTTCCCAGAAGCGCTGAAAATAGCACAAGTGGTTCCTATTCACAAAAAGGGCTGCAAAAATAGTGTCAAAAATTATTGCCCAGTGTCATTAGTGCCTATTTTAGGTAAATTAATTGAACGGATTGTAAAGCACCAGGTATGTACACACTTTGATAGATTTAGGGGGAGTAAGCCTTTTTTTCTGCCAGTTTGGTTTTCTCAGTGGAAGGTCAACTACGGATGCCATTGATTGCTTTGTTTTTGGGATTTTGGAAGCTTTTGAGGGAAGGAGTCTTGCTCAGGTGACTGTGTGTGATTTGAGCAAGGCTTTTGATTGTGTCGATCATGGTTTCTCAATGTGTAAATTGGAGCACTGTGGCATCCGTGGTTGTTCTAAAAACTAGGGTTCCCCAAGTCTCGGTCCTTGGTCCCCTACTCTTTTTGATTTCTGTCAATGATTTGCCACTTAGTATTGAGGGTTCTCAAACCACAATGTTTGCAGATGATACAACGTTCCTAACTGTTCACCATGATCTCAATAGATTAAAGTTATCTGTAGAACAAACAATGAAACAAGCTGGGGATTGGTTTAGTGACCAACAATCTCCTTCTTAATGTAGATAAGACACAAAGTTTGCCATACAAAAAACAAAGATTTGGGCTCAGGTGTAATTTGTAAAGAGGTTAGGCCCATAAAAGTCCTGGGTGTGTTGATTGACATCAGCCTTTTTTGGTCAGCTCACATTGATTTAGTATGTTCAAAACTGTCAGAGTTATTTATTTAGTTAGGTTAAAAATTGTTGAGAAATATATCCGAGTAGCCTATTTTGCATATTTTTAGTTAGTGTTAAGCTATGGTCTGATTCTCTGGGGTAACTGTAGTAATATAAGTGATGTTTTGTTACTTCAGAAAAAGGCACTTAGAATAGTAACCAAATCAGCTTTCAAAGCCCATTGTAGACCTTTGTTTATCAAAACTAGAATATTGACTGTCATTAACCTGTTACATATATAGGGTGTTCCACGAAGTGGTTTAAACGTTTGACTTTATATTTCTTGCCCATTTATAGACCGATGTCTTTGAAACTTTGCATAATTTATTAAATATGTTTTAAAACTATTCTGGGAAAATTTAAGCTCCCTAATCCTCGTAGAAACAAAATGGTGGCATATTGAATGTTTTTAATTAACTAATCATATTAAATTAATTAATTTATTATTATTTATTAACTAGTGATGGATCACAGTTTGAATAATTTTGGACTCTACTCTTAGGTTTTTCATTAGGCTATGTTCTAATTTCCTGATTAAAAAGCATTATTTCCCTAGGATGTGATAATACAAATATTTTACAAAACCAAAAACACTATTTTAATATGTTTAAAGTATCATTTTTTCAATATAACTCCATTTTAGCGAATTTCCCATATAGGGAATATTAGCGAATTTCCCATATAGGGAATAAGCTATTACCGTAGTACTCATGGTAAGACCTGGACCCGGGACAGATTTTTTTTTCGTTTTGAGGTCCATAGAGGCCAAAAATAGCATCCGTTCAAATTCGTATATATATATATCTATATAAATAAAATTAGAGTTTTGTCTGTACATTGCTCAGAATCATAAACTTTTAGGTTATTTTTACGTTTTATACATTAAAGAAACCGAAACAAGTCTCATCTAAATTTCTGTCTGTCTTCCAGTCTGTTACGGCCCAAGAGCCATTTTACGCGGCCTTCTCCTGAAAAACAAGAGTACCTATCAAGTTCCAAATCATTTTAATGTATTCACTGGATTGGCAAGATTGTCTTTAGCCATTAAAATATGGCGTCACTACTTTGTAAATAAAATGACGGACGTTTAAAAACCCAATTTTGTGCGATTTTTGTCAAGTTTTCTCCCAATGTCCAATGTTCATCACTTAATCATCAATGAAATAACGAACAGCTGTTCGGATCAAGATTATTTTTTCTATCTGTCACTGATATGTTTACATTAAAGGTTGTTTACAAATACCGCAAACATTTCCGATCACGTTTTGAAAGCAAAATCCAAAACCAAGTGAGATTAAAAACTATTTTCCTTACATACAGAATTTCATTAATCGCAGGTTCAATAATGTGTAAAATGAAATAGAGATTCTTTGTGTATAAAATTGCTCTGAAGCTTTGATAACCGGGAAAAAAGACCTTGAAACAGTGATGTAAAGGGCTGGGAAACTTACGTTTATTAATTAATTGACGGCGTTTCAATGGCGGTTGTGTAAAGCGTAAAGTGAAAAATCATAACTGCAGTGGGTGATTGTAACAGAGGTTTACGGATGATGCTAAACTCGCTTTTCCAATGTGTCACTTTCAGTTTCTACTTACCCCTATGTGCTACAATCGCTGGTCCATACAGCCAATAGGAAAATAAGACTGTATCTTGGGTACATAGGCCTACCCAATTATTCATAACAACCTATTCGACGACGATCCTTGATACCGGTACTTTTCCCTAGAATACATGGCCTACCTACTTACGAAATCAAATTAAAAACTTTCAAAACACAACATTGTGTGATTTTGTTCTTAGAGAATACGTCATATTCTAAATAACAAAAAGCTGTTTGGATGAGATTGTTTGGTTCAAACTGTCACCAACATTTTTACATTAAAAGTTGTTTACAAATAATGCAATTAATGGGAAATAACTTTGATTTCCGATAACGTTTTGTCAGAAAATCCAAAACCAAGAGAGATCAATCACCTCGGAACTGGATTAACGCATTTAATTGGTCGGATGTAGTATAGTTCTTAACTGTAAACGTTGGTTTTTGGTACTGGTTCTTTTCCTTAGAACCGGTGGTATTGCACAAGAATCAATTTTACGTACCAACACATCATATTTACAAATTAGTTATCGTTAGTGTTGCACCTTATTTATTACATTAGTATTAAATTTAATTGATGTCTTACTGTATAAGTTTTGCTTTTTCTTTATATGTCATTATATTAGGTTTATAGATAATAGTTTTACCAGCATATTTGCTTATAAAATTGTTCTTGAGTTTTGATGACCGGGAAGAAGACCTTGAAGGCCTATAGCCCTATATTAAAAGGATTGTTTGAAATCTGTCCTAATTTTCAACGCATACATTTTAACCCTTAAATGACAACTAAGAGCTGATGGAAGTTGATTCATTATGTATTAAAGTAAGTATCTTCTTTTGAATATTTTAGTGACATTCTGTTATATTCACTGTTTCTTCATTGGAGCACTAATTAAGGTAAAAGTCCATTTGGAACTATACAAAAGTCCATAGTACAGTACCATCAATATATTTTTTCTTCGAATCACCTAATTCATTTAAACGTAATATTTATATATTTATACACACTTCATACATATTTTTCTGAATTACTATTTGTTTTAATTTGGTGAACCATACTCAGCTGGAAATATGCTATGTAAATATTTACTATCATATCGATATTTGAATGAATCAAAATGCCTCGAAAAAAAAGAAGTTGTTTAGGTAGATTATCGCAGGACGCAAAGAGGAGAAGGCTGTTGCAAGAAAATCAATACGAGTCGGCAGATGATCTTGCTGGTCAAGAAAGAACAAATATCGTGGTAAATGACTTTTCTCTGAACGAACGTGCAGTTGACGAGAGCGCGGGGACCTCAAGATCCCAACCCTTGACGACTCGAGAGCGAATGGCTCTCTACAGAGTTCGACAGTCCTATGACGAGAGAGAAAGAAGAAGAAAAAAAGATAGAGAACATCATCAAGACTTTCGAATGGTTCAGTCCGAGGAGGAACGAGAGGCATGGAGAAAAGATGCAAGGTTGCGGTACCAAGAATTTAGACAGCAAGAAACTGAGGAAGAACGAGGAGCGAGAAGAGAATACGACAGGTTGCGGCACGAAGAGTTAAGACAAGAAGAAACTGAGGAGGAACGAGATGTGCGGTTAGAAGAAGACAGAGTGCGTCATGCCATAGTACGACAGAATGAATCAGACGAGGAGCGGAGAGCTCGGCAATTAAGAGATAATGATAGGCACAATCGTGCTGTTCACCTCCATCGCCTGACATTGGAAAATGCATCAGACAGAATAAATATCC